TCCACCTCCATTCTAAATTTCGTGAAGATCGGGTCATAATTGCGACCTGTAAAGTGATTACAAATTAACATGGACAGACGGACAGGCGGACATACATAGCTAGATCGACTCAGCTCGGCGAGATAGGAAGATCCATATATACTTTCCTATGTGGGAAACCAATATTTCTTGGTGTTACATAATTTTTGCCCCAATCAAACGTATATACACCCAACACATAGTGCTGTAGGGTATAAAACAAAATTCGGTCGACAAAATACCGCTCAAAGGAAACCCGTTATATAGGAGAAATTGGTTGAAAATAAATATATGGAAGTTTTATTGGAAAATTATAGAAAATATCGTAATTAACGATCTGCTTAATGGTTATTTTTTCTAACGCGTCTAATGATGCTTTTCGGTTTAGAGTATATGATTGGTCCAAATTTTCTTTATCTCCCATATATTAAGTTTCGTTTCAAGTTTTCATTTCGGGCTCCCATGTTAGTGGACCATTCAGATAAATAGTGACTAACCTGTCGCCAGTTTTTAATAGTTATCTCAGTATTTAGTGGGTAAAATTGACCACAACATTTATGTAAAAAATATGTACATTTCCACCACACCGCGAATATTTTTAATCCTGGATGCACGCTCATATCCAAGATATAGCGTATATAGCAAAATATATACAATCTTACATATCAATGAAGGAGATGTTAGTTAGACAGCTTATAACTCAAGAACGGCTGGACGGGTTATGACAATTCTCTCAAATTCGGAATGGCTTCTTGCCAGAAAAGGATAAAATCTAAAATTATTGCCTGAAAATATACCCTACAACACTATGTGTTTGGGCCAAAAATTATGTGACACCTCGAAATATTGGTTTCCCACCTAGGAAAGTTTATATGGATCTTCCTATCTCGCAGAGCTGAGTCGATCTAGCTATGTATGTCCGTCTGTCTATGTTAATTTGTAGTGGAGGTGAGGCTAGAGCCAGAATAGAAACCTATTGATTTTGGAGATGATCGCAAAATATTTAGGGGTTGAAATTGACCATGGACCAGTGACTCACAATGTCACAAGTAACAACTAATCCACACGGAATTTTGCATGAGGTTGGGGTTTAGGACAGCGCAGAAGTGTAGCATTTTGTACGACCTTTGAATAGCACGACATAGAGTGTAAACATAAGGAATATATCTCCGGTTAAAAACTAAAGGTAACATTTGTGCGGGACAGTATCGCATTTTTCAAATAATCGACTAAAATGTGTTTTGACCTAAAAAATGTATAAATTAAAACGTGGGCCTTCTTCTTTCGTATGGTAAAATTTCATCCAATAAGAAGCCAAATTGCAGATGTTATTGATCTGGTTTAATTTTATATCCTCTAAGAGTCTGAAACGTTAAAATACTAACTAAATATTTAAAATCTGCAGGTATTGCAATATGGAGAACAGTACACCAAAGTAGTCCTAATGGGTACTACAACATATGACAAACAATTACTTATACAAGGCCACGTCTTCGTGTAGGCCGTATATAACGGTACCTCCCAATATTCAGTATTTTTAGACCAGATTGTTTCAAAATTTTGCACTTAAGTAATGTGTACTACAGCCTATAACGAAATATGGCGTATGCAGGTTGACGTCTTCGTACATTCACCATATAACGATACCTCACGATATTCGGTATTTTGATTTTTTTGGCTACATTATTCGCCTGAATTATTTCATATTTCCTATTTGAAGCTCGTAATGGGACTTCAGCCAATGCCAGAAAATTGTTTATTCAGGTCAACGTCTTCGTATAGGCACATGTAACTGTACCTTTTTCGTTATTTTGATTATATTAGCGACATTATTTAAGGGAATTGTTTTAAACTTCGTATTTGAAGGTCCTAATGGGTATTAAAGTCTATGTCAGACAACTTGCGTATGAAGTTTCTCGTCTTCGTTTTTAACGGCATTCATTTATACTGTATTCTTCGACGAAATTTGTTTCAAAATTTTCAAGTTTTTAAAAAAATTTCCACCATTTGGAAAGTTGAGGGAATTAAAAGTTCGGTCCGGCCGATGCTTTTTTACTTGTTACTTGTTTTTTGTTTGGTTTTACATTTCAAATTAGTCTGTGTGTATGTGCGTACCACGTACTTAAGAGAAAAGAGGGCTTAAAATATTGTTTTACTCAATTTAGTAATCAAAATAAAAAAATCAATTGAGTTATTATATAATCATTATTGAATACAAGTAGGTATTTCGTTATCCAGAAATTAACGTTTATCTCTTAATTCTTCATCAAATGCTTCATCTCTAATTTCATCACAATCAGTATCATTCGTGGTCTTAATTCATTATAAACTAATGATGGGACTAATACAGATGGAAGGTTTAAACGTCTTCATGCAAGCGCATGTTTTTGTGCGCAGATAATACAAGAGGATCTGATGTAACCAATGCTCTGTTAAATACGTCTGTGAGATCATTAATACGACCACTGTTCCTAGCGTCCTTACCTTTTCCACAGTTTTGGAAATTTTCGGATTGAGTTTCCTCGAAGTTCGTGCTTTGTAGGTATTTAGTTTCTTCGACAAATGTTGCAGATAAACATAAGAGGGAGTCAACAAAGGATGGTCCTTTTTATACCCTACATCACAAGGTGGTCAGAGTATTATTTCTTTGTGCATTTGTTTGTAATAGGCAAAAAGAAACGAGATGGTCCAATATTTCCTTTTGAAGATCTGCATAGAATCACATTCTGAGTCGACTTATGTATTGCCCGATAAATATGAAATTTTGCACAAATCATTTGTTGGGTACAAGGACGAACCCTTTTGAAATTGGGGACAATCGGTCAAAATTTAGATTTAGCTCCCATATATATCTTCGTCCGATTTGCCTTTTTGTACACCAAACGTGTAGTATCAGACCAAATAGTATGGAATTTTGTACATACGACCAAATTAGGCCTGAAAATAAGTATGCCAAATTTGATCGAAATTGAGATCGAATATGGGAGCTATAGCTCCCATATATATTGTTTATCAAATTTGTTATTTTTGTCCACCGCAGCTGTAATATGCACTCTGTAAAAAAATTATTTGAGGAAATATATCAAAAACAGCTCATAAAATACCTTTGATAAATTTAACGAGATCGGATAAGATTTGAATATAGCTCCCATATATAACTTGGTCCGAGTTGCTTTTATTGTACACCAACGTCTAATATTGGCCCAAATGGGATGGAATTTGGCACACGTCTAGAAACTAGTATGCCAAATTTCGGTTCAGATATGCCTATAGCTCCCATATACATTGTTCATCCGATCTACTACATTTGTTCCCACAACCGTAATATGCGCTCCGTACAACGATATTCAAATTCAGCTCAGAAATACCTTTGCCAAATTTCATCGACATCGGTTCAGATTTGGATATAGATATATATCTTTATCTGATTTCAAGTTAATTGTGCACCAAATGGGTAATACAAGCCCGGATGAAAAAGACACAAATGCCTCGACAAATTTAGTCCTTTGGACCTTAAATTATAACTATAATCATAGTTTGTATGATTTAATTCTCACAAGTGCCCCATAAATATTTTTTTTTTGTTATGTGAAGGTCTATAAAATATGCAAAGTGGTGTAGGGTATCATAAAGTCGGCTTGCCTATTTCTTCTTCTATTTTTTTACAATTTCAGTATACAATAGCCAGTCTGGGTTGTAGAAAATGCCAATTGGTAGTACTCATTTTTAGTACTCGAAGCCCAAATGGAGTTTTGGGCTCTTTTGGCAAAAGTTGTTAAGGCTTAAGGATAGAGTTTTGAACTTTTGAGAAAGATCTTTAGATTACATTGAGAATCATTGGCACAAAAAATGAGTCATATCGGTCCACCTTTTTGGAATAGTTCTAGGATAACTCGGATTTCAGGCATTTTTCACGTTTTGCCAAATTTTTGAATTTTGTTTAAAGGATGCTTTTAAGCATATTTGAAAGAAAGGACCAGTAAGACCCCTTTCTTGACTCGCTCGAGGGTTAACATTTTCAACTAAAATATGCCTCGTATTTTTATCTGCAATATTTGCGAAGAATGCACGGATTCCGAGGAAACTTAATCCGAAGATTTCCAAAAATGGGAAACGGGGCGAACTTGTCCCTCTATTTTGGTTACTTTCGAAAACGCGGATGCACATGTCTATTTTTAGCTTTACTTTCATAATAAGCTGGATTTTTCCTGTTATTATTTTTTGTGTTGCACAGTGTTATATGAAGATGTAAACAAGCCTTTTTTTCAATTCCTATAATTTGAGCGAATTTCTGTAATTAGCAAAAGGCACGACGGGATTTAATACCATTATAATGCTCAGAAGTTGTTTAGAATTTCTGGTTTTCTTTTAAAATACTTTTCACCAAAACTGTTTCAAATTTGGTATTTGCAGTTCGCAATGGAAACCACCTCGTATGACAGAAAATTGCACATACAGATCCATATCTTCATATAGCACTTGGCATTTGTATCCCACATTTGGAACAAATTTTTCTGAACTATAGTACAAGATTTTTACAAAATTGCTACATCAAGTGTTGTCAAATATAGGAGATGCAAGAGTATATGAGTTTTAATGCCAAAAGGTTTTAAACATTTGAAATTGGTTAGGAAAAAAATTAAGCTTGTTTATATTGCTTTTCGCATATATATTGCCTCTATAACCCTGATTTTATACTCTTTTATATATATATATATATATATATGAATTTGCTCATTGATTCTGTAAATTTTCGCGTAGAGTGAACTATATTTTTAAACCGTGAAGGTTTTTCCAATAGCTTCACCTAAATCTTTTTTATTTTTTTTATCGAAACCTTTTTCATAGTTTTGAGTATGTTTTTTTTTTTAAACATCCGACAACCCAAAAGTTGAAAATTGAATAAAATTGTTCACAGAATCCCAAGTTTTATTGTATTTGTAATTATTTTATTTTCGTTGGAGTCCTGACTGAAGACATCATTTCGGTATAAGGTTATAGTAATCCATATTGGATTTCTTTCGAATTTCGATTGAACGAATCCTTTGAGGAACCAAATATAATATATTTTTAATTTGCAGATACCTTAAATATTTATTCCTCATATTAAATCCAATTTCATTATTGTTATTAACTATTATCTTCAATAGTTTGTAATTTTCATAATAAAATTGGCGTCTTTTTAATAACATACGCATTGAAGTTGTCCCATACTTTCGTCATCATGCGGTGCCGTGTGCACTCACGGCACCAGCCAGCTCATAACCAAATCCTGTAATTGACGACAGTTAACGAGGAACCTAAATACAATGTCGGCACCTACAACATCTTCAATGGAACCGAATAGAATTCACGATGTCGACGATCCAATGAAGACGAACGACGTAAACTCATGTCTATTGGAGGGAATAGTACCAGCCCAACAAGCAAATCCAAAGTCAGCGTAAGCTCTTCTGTTTGTATCGTTGCTCCATATCCACATTCACTTGGTAAAAAGGGAACAAACACATTGACACTCACTGGTTGGTTGGCTGGTTGTTGGGCTTAGGAGATGGACACCTACATGAAAATGAAAAAAAAAAAAAAATTATAATAAAAATAACAACAACAACATGTTGTTACAAAATAACATTTCTACAAAGGGAAAGGGGGCAATTGTAGGGGAAGTTGCAACATGTTGCAAGAGGTGGAGTTTACAAAACTTACTCATGCACACTGTTGTATATAGTATATCATAGACATATATACATTCGAAGGTAAATAGTAGCGTGTTGGCAAATGTAAAACAATGTACCATTTATTCATATTCTCCAGCTGAAAAAAAAACGATACAAGTCACATGATGCCTTACATACTATGTAAGATTTCCTAAAGTGTGCCATGACCAATCGCATTGTTGATACGTGCATACATGTAAATATATATATGTAAGTAAGTGTGTAGATTAGAAATAGCGTGATTTATCACGGGGATTCTTAATCTTATATTAGTTGTTCCTCCCCCATCGAAACGCCATAGTGCTTAGATTCGAATGCATAAACAAGCTTATTGTACAAGCTCAAGAAACAAATCGACAAATACAAACAGACATACACATTATAAAAAATAGCGCATTACAATATATATGTATATGCGACCTTAATTTATTTTTTATTAAACAATCATACGCTCCGATATCCATCTCTACATTGGAAAAAAGAGACCAAGAACTTGGAATATGCAACACATAGTCGCTGGTGTGTAGAGAGAGATGGTTTTAAACATCAACATTGTGAATGTGTACTGCTCGTACACACACATCACTTCGTTAAGTAAGTTTCTCGAAACATTTTAAGTGAAATAGTTGCAGGTTCCAGTAAAAGCGCGCAAACATGACATGACCGCACACACACACACACAAACATACAATTCTATGTAGAACACATTCTCCAACCCTTAGATTTTAAGGACAATCAACACACACGCACACACCCATATACATAGCATCGTATTTGAGCACGCATACACCAAAGGCCAGAAATCGGTAGGTGGAGCAAAAGCTTGACACACATATGTAAATGGATCTGCCCCACACACACATCCCAAGTGGAAAACGTAAACATTATAGTTGCCAGCGCATTTGGAGGGACATTCGGGCCAAACATTCGAACCCCAACATGCAGCAACATGTTGCTTCAGACGTTATATAATATTTGCCGAGAGATTGCGAAGCCCTTGCTCTGCCGACACTTTTTTCGCACAACTGCTTACATTCAATGTTACTTGGGATATTCTGTTAATAGCAGTTTCTCTACTGGAGACAAAAAGAGACAACAACGGCAATGGTGCCTCCATCAAAGAGACCAAACTGCCAGACTGCAGAGAGCCACCAGACCACGTGACATTGTTGCATTCTACATATGCAGTGGTTATCGGATAGTTGGCTTGGCCTGTCTCTGTGTGGGTATTTACTTTTCAGCTGACTGCAACGAAGTTATAAATCAAAACAAAACTAAAACATGCGTTTCATTCACTGTGTGTGAGCGAAACACGTGCCATTATTTTAACAGCGTTGTTTACAGAGTCCTGTTTACAGCGTTTGTTGTTGGTGTAGGTTCTTTAAAGTATTTAAGCTGTGTTTTTGTTGTTGTTGTTGCTGTGTGTGTTACAAATGCTGCCGCCGCTGCTGGTGGTGCTGCTTTGTTTTTGATTAAAAATTTAAATGCAAATAAGGGCAATAGTAGTTGTATTTTTCTTTGATCTACTTTCCAACATTATTTTCTAAAACTGCCAGCACAAAAGAAGAAAAGCTTCACACAAAGACGCTCTAGTGCATTTTATCACAAAGATACACACTTACACACAAACACACACACTCACTCACTCACTCACATACGCAAGCACACTCAGAGACATAGACAGCGACACAGACAGTCTAAATGCTGTGAATGGAAGCCGCATTTTCAGAAGAAGAAGAAGCAGATAAAGACATTTCAAAGGGATGCGGTGTCGGTGTGCAATGTGCAACGCGACGCGTCGCTGGGTGCATTTTCAAAGGACTAAACTGCGCCCATTATGAATTTGTGTCGGATTGCTTACTCATTACTTGACAATCGAAAAGCAGGCGAGCAAGCTCTGTCCGAATGCGAAATGGAACTATTTGTGGTGACACATATAATTATCGTGCTCTAACTGCTGTCTAGCCGAAAAGAAGAGGTTTAGGAAGATATTAAAATTGAACACACATGTGGGCGAAATAGTTCGCGTTGTAATATTTTTAGGGGGTGGAGTAAATTAAAAAAATCATAATGTGAACTTTTCATAAAAAATGTTATTTCAAAATTTAATTTTTTGATAAACACTGAAACACAATGTAAGTATGTAACAACATAGACATTTGGGTGTGCATTTTTATATGTTAAAAATGTCAAGATTCGTTTTATTAAAAAAAAAAATCTAGAAAATACCACTTTCAACATCAGTTCTTCGCGCACTTATTCCATTTAACTTCCTTTTTAATTTTTGGTGCAATGAGTACAAATGGGTAATTAAGCAGAATTGTCGATTTTGGTGAAGATCAGCCAGATGCAGTGAAGATCTATCAATGCATTCAGTTTGATGCGGTTTATCGGCTGGTGGCATCATTGGACTGAATTTCTTAAAAATATGCTGCGGATCGTAACGCAACTGTGAATGGTTAGCGCTACCGTGAGAAGATATCCATATTTTTTGGCCAAAAAACAAGAGCTTGACTTGCATGACATGTGGCGTTAACAAGACGGTGTCACATTCTACACAGCATCCGGTTGAATTTTTTGGGAGGCAAATCACTTCTTACGTACGAAATAACATCCAAAGCAAATATTGAGTTATTTCTAAGAAAAATACTAAAAAAAAAAAACAGCAAAAAAACATTAAGTTCGGTCGGGCCGAACTTTTAATACCCAGCACCTTAGGATAAAGGAAACATTTTTATATAAAAGTATCTGAATTCCAGCGCTTTTCACTTTAAACTTCATATACCAGTAAGACCTTTTGCATAATGAAGTTAAACTTATCAAAAAACCATAAAGTGAGTGAGGTCGATATTTGGGGCCATACCAAAACGGGATCCTCTATAGACAATTTTATGCTTCAAGGATTGTCATCCATCAAATCTTCTAGAATACCAAATTTGGAACAATTATGTGGGCAAATGTGACTAGGATTATCAAAATACCGAATATCGGTGGCTATCGTTATATGTGCGCTATAGAAAAAAGTAGAACTAAATATTCATAGAACTAAATATTCGTGCCGTCATATGGGGGCTATGCCAAAACGTGGACCTACACATACGATATTTCCCCACACTAGCTAGAATCTATTATACCATAAAAATACCGATTTTTAGAAAATCCGTGAAAAAATTAACAAAAATCATAAAAATACCGAATCGCGGGAGGTGTCGTCATATGGGGGCTATAGCAAAACGTGGACCTATACATACAATGCTAAAAGCTATATTACCTACAAATACCAATTTTTAGACAAATCCGTGGAAAAATGTGGCAAAAATCAACAAAATACCGAATATCGAAAGGTACCGTTATATGAGGATTATACAAAAAGTTGTACCGATATATCTCATTTTCAATACCAACCATCCTAGACACAATGAAAATTGTTCTGCTAAATTTTGACGCTCTGCGTCAAAAAATGTGGGCTGTATTGTGATTTCAACAGATAGACGGACAGACGGACATCGTTAAATCGACTTAGAATTTTATGCTGATTCTGAATTAACATATAGTATAGTTTGTCAAAAATTAAATAGGGAACCCATTATTTGATAATGGGTTATCTTGAAGGGATGTCAGGAACATCATGAAATCAGACAGATGAAATCAATCAGACTTTTTCCCGCACGAGAATTACAACCAGCTACCTTTTATTTGTAGATGGGCCTGCTCATTCTGAACAGGGGCTATTCATTACTTTTTATGATAAATGTAAGTTATTTTGCGTTGTAAGATTTTTGGAATATCAGTAATGCAGAAATTGGTTCAAGTGACCACCAAATTGTTGCTGGGTATAATCCGTCTGTTCGTTGTTTCCGAAATGTTTTCACAGACTTGATTGTTTTAATGTTTGGTTTTCATGTCATTTTCTTCTATCTATATATATAATGAAGTAGGGTGACTAAGTAATCAATGCCCAGGCGAACGGCTGAAATTACAATCTAGAAATTTTGTATGTATGGATAAGGAATAAGATGAGTTTTTGAAAATTCGAACAATAAGTGCACTAAAAGTACTAAAAGGTGCTAAAAACTGAATACATTGTAAGTTGGAGAAGTAGGGTTGATTTAAGGAGGTTATTTATAAATTTTGGTATTGGGACTACTACTGGTGGCTGGGGTGATTTGGGAATACATACCATAAAAGTATGAAAATGACAAAATTTGAAATTTGGAATGAGGGTTATTGATGTTGTCACGAACCAAATTTTCCCAAAGAATAGTGAGTGTGCCAAAAAGTAAATAAAAAAGTACTAAAAGCCACTAAATTTGTTGCCAGTTGGATTTATGTGAACGGATAGAGGTAAATACTTGAAATTTGGTGTGAGAATCAAATTTGTAAAGTAGGGTTGACGTATTTTGTAAATATGTACTAAGTTTAAAAAATGTAGGAATTGTACTTAATTTGGTAAAATTGGGGTTTTGTTAAGTAGATAAAGGTGGAATGTTTAAATTTAGTATAAAAATATATTCTTCTGGAAATGCTTACAATAAGGGTACGAAAAGAACTAAATGTTACTAAATTTGGTATAGCATTTACGAAAAGAGCTAGAATTATGAATATTTGTATGGGGATCGTGCGTGTAGCGTTTAGAGAAGGAAGTGAATTTGGAAATCCGAACTACAGCGAGTAGGAAAAGTGCTAAATGATGCTATACATATTATAACTATAAGAATAGAGCTGAACCTGTAATTCTGGGTTAGACAATGAAGTGTTTTTGGAAATGAGTGCGTGTGGGAATGGGGCCTCACATATACACATTTGTATAAGGATCAATGTGAGTGTGTGGCTTAAATGAAGAGGTCGATTTGAAGTTGGTACTAAAATGTGTACAAAAAGTGCTAAATTGTTTTCAATTTAGTATATAGAGTAGCAAAAAATCTAGAACTGTGAATTCCGGTATTAAGATCAGTATAATATGTGGAATATCCTACAAATGAATAAAAGCTACATATACTTATGTACCCTTTTGAGAATTATATTAGACAGAAATGTAGGGTTTTGTATGTACGTATGAATTTACAATATGTAAGGAACCACTTTTGTAGGGGTGGTACCAAACGAAGATGACCGTTTATCTCATTTTGACATCTTATTATGGTTGAAATATTGATGTGTAAAGTTGAAGAAAATTGGACATCAGTATTGAATTTTTTAAAAAAAATATTCATATATTTCTAGTATCCTTCTGTCAGATATATAATTTTATAATTTTTTGGTTCTTATTTTGAAAGTTGTTTTTCCCCTAACGTATTTTTATTTATTATGCAGCTTCCTTCCAATCAGAAGGTACAACAAGTAAAGAAGCGTAAGGTTCGGCAAGGCCGAACTTTGAATTCCCTCCACCATTTCGGACGAATTAGAAAATCTTCAAACAAATAAATACTGAAAAATTTTAAAAATACTGAATATGGGGAATAAAGGATATTGTGGACATATATAGACAATTCTCTTTCAGGGGGTACAGTGCTCAGAAAGAACTCCTTGTGTAGAATTTCAGACAATTCCATTTAAAAATGTGGCTAAGAAAGAACTCCTTGTGTAGAATTTCAGACAATTCCATTTAAAAATGTGGCTAAAAACATCAAAATATCGAATATCTGGGGGATACCGTAAATAACTCCTTTTGTAGAATTTCAGAAAATTCCATTGAAAAACGTGGCTAAAATCATCAAATTATGGAATATCGCGACGTGCCGTTATATGGGGGATATACGATGTCGTGGACCTATATAGACAATTCTCTGTCAGAGGAAAAGTACTCATAAAGAACTCCTTGTGTGCAATTTCAGACAATGCCATTGAAAAATGTGGCTAAAATCATCAAAATATCGAATATAGGGAGGTAACGTTATATGGGGGCTATACGATATCGTGTACCTATATAGATAATACTACTCCAGGGGATAAAGACAATTCCATTGAAAATGTGGCTAAAATGATGGAAGTACCGAATATCAGAAGGTGCCGTTATCTGGGGGATATACGATATTGTGGACCTATATAGGCAATTCTCTCGAAGAATATCGAATATCGGGAAGTGCCGTTATATGGGGGACATACGATGCCGTGTGAATTTTCAGACAATTCCGTTGAAAATTCACACAAGGAGTTCCTTGTGAGTACTTTATCCACTAAAAGAGAATTGTCTATATAGGTCTTCGATCGGGGGTACCGTTATATGGGAGCTATACGATTTCGGGACCGATATAGCCCATCTTCGAACTTGACCTGCCTGCAGACAAAATACAGATCTGTGCAAAATTTTAGCTTCCTATCTTAATTTGTTTTGACTGTAGCGTGATTACAACGGACGGACGGACAGGGCAAAATCGTCTTAGAATTTTACGCTGATCAAGGATATATATACTTTGTTGGGTCTAAAATTATTATTTCGATGAATTACAAACGGAATGACGTTGGAGGGAATGATGGTGGAGGGTATAAAAACATTAGAGGAAGTGAAAATGTAATAAACAAAATTTATTTAACCCGAGCTCTTGGCAGTTTTATAAGAATATCACAATGTCACTAACTTCGGAGCATCCCATTGTATGGATATTGATCGTGACTTTTTGTCATCAGTGTACATGCAACGTAAATTTATTTCATAATATAATCATGCGTGTGGATGCAGCAACAGCAACAACAAGAACAAGAACAAAGACCATCAACAACAAATGAATTATTTCACTGCTACACCAATGTTATTATGTCTTGCAAGAAAAAGACGATGATGATGAGGATGACAATTATGGTTACATTGGCAAGTCGGCCCTTAGATGTTGACTATCACAAAAACCTAATCATCGCCACTAATACAAGTGCATACGAAATCGCAGCAGTAAGATACTAAATAAACAATCAAACGAAGCAGCAAAATAATCGATGAACGCACACAAATACGCACAGAACTGTCGAGCAGAAAGATTAAAATGTTTGGCCTTGTGCAAACTACAAACAGACAGCGTGTGTATGCTGTGTTCATGCATTGCGTGTGTGTGTGTGCCCGTGGCTGCGTCTGTGTGCTCCAGTATGCATTTGTATGTGTACACGTGTCTCTTCTTGCATTTCACATATCCTTATGGCTTTGCTTTGTGCAGCACACAAAGCAATAATAATAACAGCAACAACAACAACAAGAACTACAAACACAACTGCCGTCCTGTCTACTGAAGACGGGCAGAAAATTGTGGCCAACAGAAAAGGTTAAATGGTGCACATAGGAAACAGATGAGATGCAGACCGCTGCAGTTAACACTGAAGACCAAGAGAAAATGCACACTTCCGCAACTTGAAAAACAATTCAACAGAGAACACTGGAGAGCGAGAGAGCCTGAGAGGGCAAACAAGGACATGCGCCTAGCTTAATATATAGTTAATGCTAATGTAATACGAGCGGCTACAGATGGATGTACACGCGAATATGTGCAACAGTGACAACTTCCGGCATGTTAAATGTTGGTGACAAAATAATGTCAATAATAATGAAATCTGGGGTGGACAGATATAAGGACATAAAGTATAGCGTGTCCTTTACGCAAATAATTTATCCATCGAACCCTGACTTGGTGGCAGACTGGCTGGCTAAGTGCCAAATTTGTCACTGCGATTAAGCGTATGCCCATATTCATAGTTAGGCATAGAGTAATGCATTTCTATGTATGTGTAAACAACAGTAATCTTGCATTACTTGCAGTGGTGCTCAAAATCTGGTGTCTTCCAAAATATTTGCATTTTAATGAGTCTCCCTGGCCTTTACAAAATCTAATATTCTCCATCTGATGATGAAAGCAGAAATAAAAACAATGCCGCTCCAACTAAATATGAGGCCCTCCTTGTCGGCATTTGCCTAATATTAGTTGGTGTTAATAAGTGTGTGGTCAGGGGCATAACATAACGCTCGATTGGCTTAACAGCAAGTGAGAGAATATCGCCAGCTATGTACTAAAGTGTGCCAAAGGAATGTAACTAGAAGAAAAAACCATATGAGAGAGAGGGGGGGGGGGGGGAGAGGCGGGTTTCCAATGTTGACTAGATTATTTACTTTTTGATGCAAAAATGTCACCGTCTGGCATTACTTAACATTTTTGGCACAGTGTCAAAAAGAGAAACATGCAGACAGAGAGAGCGAGCGGCAAGAGTGAGAGCGAGAGAATCCATCAAATGCAGCATTGCATTTCCTTGTTTCCTTCATTCAACACTCTCTTTTCTAGTTTGTGTTTCGTTTTGTGAGGATTCAAGTTGCGGAATCGAGTTCTATGTGACGGTTGGATAACTGCAAAAGCACAATCAGCAAAAATTCTTATTTTCAATATAGCGTAGAGAGTGACATTTCGGTTATTTTCACATCCACATACAATGGGACCATAAAAAGGGTTTGTCGCACCAACACTGAGACCACAGAATTTGCAACATTTCGACCGTTTATATGACATAGCAGCATTGTCGAGTTCCGTGTTGGTGTGTGTATGTGTGTCTGTGTACATTGCAAAAAGACCAAACGACGAGTATGAGTTGAATCGTCTAGTCGACGAATACACCAGCCAAAGTCAAAGTTATTTTTGTACGAAAACAGCCCATGGAAGCCTTTTGCAGTAGCTGCAGTCAGACTGCAAGTACACCGTTACACCCGCCCTCCGAACTGCTGTCGCTGCTGTTGCTCGACACTGCTATATATGTTTTACTGTTTACGACAACAGAGGCTCGTAAAACCAACCAAACCAGAAATATGCATGCATAGCCGTTTCCAACTCGAGTCCTTTTTAACTTTGGCACATAGGACTTTAGTTGTTAATCAAGCTTCCTGCAGTGAGGACGTTCTCTCGCTCAACTGTGGCCAACGACAGACCCCTTCAAAATTGTTGTGGACAATTTTTGAAATGAATTTTGCTTTTGCCTCAAAAACATTTTCTAATAGCAATGTGCAGCATAGACACGAGCCAACGCCGCATCTACCGCCACCAGCACCCCCGGCAAATGCCACGGCAGCAACAGAGCCACCAGCCGCGCTCATAGTCACTTCATCTAGTGTTTTGGTGTAAGTGCAGTTGCCCGACTTGTCGTTCGGACCAAGTGAACTTAAAAAGTGTAACAATGTCGTAAATCATGTAATGCCTGAACATTTTTATTACAATTGCCGACAAAGTCTATGCAGCGCACCAACAGCCAACCTAACAACAACAATAACGGCAGCAACAACAACTATCATACGAATTTTAATGGCAAAATCACCAGTGACAAGTGCAACTGAAAAAGTGTCCACCATATACATAGTGTGTGTAAGTGTTAGTGAGCTAGTAGTCAATAATAATTGAATTTGACATTTCCACCATCCGAGCAAGCATAGCCAGCGAGGGTGCAAGATGGTGCACAGTGTTTGTGATTGACTGAAACCGCTCTAAACAAAAGGCGTTGTAATGAACAGAAACGGAATCGTCTCATTTTCAAAACAAGAAAACCGTTAAATTGTCCTTCTAGGAGCCGCAGGAAAGAGTTTATCATTGCAAGCGAACGAAATCAAACAATGTCTGTGCGTGAGTGTTTGTCTCTACATGTAAGCGTGTGCAAGTGTTGGTGCGCGCGTGTTGTGTCTTCAGTGTGTGAGTGTGCGTGCGTGTATGTGTGCCATTCAGTTTTATTTAATCCTTTACTTTATTGTTTGTTTGCTTTTGTGTCTGTTTTTTCCTTGGCTGCCTTTCTTTTGCTCGCTTCCTTTGATGTTTGTGTCGTTTCATCACATTACACAGAGACAGTCAATCAGCCAGCCAGCCAGCTAGCCAACCATCCCATCAATCTACGGCCCAAACAGTCATTCAGTCGGCGAGACAGCCAACCAACTAGGCAATCGCCAGCCATACAGCCAGCTTGCCAACAACCAGTCAATCAGCCAACTATGCAGCTACCCAACTACCCAGCCAGTCCTCCGTTCACATTCTGTTACACGATGTTACACTCTAACAGTAACGCTGTTAACTCGCCTTTACATAAATGCACTTGCATTTGTTGACGGCACTTACATTCGTAGCCTGAACGTGTGCCAGGACATACACCGAGGACACGGCACCGGTTCTGGCTCTGGCTCCGTTACCGACACACACTGAAGCAATACAAAGCTACGCAACACACCGCACACAAAGTGACTCCCACACACGCCGACACACAAACATACAGAAATTGTTGAGCATATTTTCTTCCTCGTTTGTAAACAAACTTTGATTGTCTTGCTTGACAACACTCATACGCTCCAATGTCGAACATAAAAAGTGATCTGATTTTAGGAACTCTTCCTCTGCTGCCACTAGACAAGTGGACTAGAGCCGGTGTAACAGATAATAAATAATAATACCATTTCAGTATTAACCTAGGATGTGCGAACTGCTAGACCAAAGTGATATTTGATCCATTCGACGAAAACATGAAAGTTAACTTACATTTGAAAATTATCCAGTAGAACTAAACAAAACAAGAAAAAAAAAAAATAAAGCAATAAAATTCCCGAAATCAGCCGGCAACCCATAGCATAGCAGAAGACATGAACAATAAAAAAATAATACTTGTGAAGTGAACTTAGTACATGGACGAAAAGTTTGTTCTCTGTCCAGTGTTTAATTGCCAACGAAATTTAAAAGGAACAGCAGCAGCAGCAGCAATCGAACAACAGCAACTGATTTACCGGTAAGAGTTATCCCATAAACTTTAGATTAGATATGATAAACCATACATACAGCAAACACATGCATTTTTTTCTGATTTTCTCTAACGTGTTATCAGATACTGGAAAATGAGAATTCCTCGTTGTCTAATATTCTAGACCTTCGTCCCACTTTGGCACGTCATCGAAAGTATTCAAAGCTTTGATCTGTAGACATGTTGTAACAAATCGGTGTTCCTTTTTGTTGTCATTCATATTCAGTTTGTATGTCATCGCCCACTGGTTTGCCAGTTCTGCCATGTTCGCCGTTTGAGGCCACATTACTTTCATATTTGTGTGTCAGTGTCTCATTCGTAGTCAGTGATTTGTTACAGTTCAAACCGTTTTAGTGTGCGCGATATTAAAATGTCAAAATTCCGTCACTGCATTTCCATCCACTTGTATTCGTTCTTTTTTTCATATTTTTATTCCTGCCTAGTAGCTTAAGTTATTTTTTCTTTTTTTGTATTTCTTCATTTGCTGTGCGGTGTTATGTTCTCTGTGTTAAGGAATGCATGTAACATTCAACAGGAAGTGAAAATGAAGACATCAAACGGCATGAAAATGACATAAATCTTATGAAAAATAATGCGGTTTAATGTACACATTGTCGTCGGCTCGTGCCTGAAGTCTTCCATGTTATAGTTTTGTTAGTATTGGTATGGTGTAATGATGTTGTGAGTTTTGCTTGTTTGTCTTGAGATATGGTGTTAAAAATTAAAAAATTCGTATATTGTTACTAAATATTTGAATTAGTTTTCGTTCGACAACAAATTTCTTTATTTTAGAAAGTAGCTATTCAACAAATCAAATTAGCTCAAAAATATCCATCAATAAATATTGAAAAGCTCATTTAAATGTATAAGCACGAAAGATTTAATCTTAATAATTTAGCAGAAGGGTAAATTAGACAAATTTTTATTGCAATTCTATAACAACAAGTTTACATTCTGTTATAGAGGAACATTTAAGGACGCTAGGGTTTTTCTCTCTTATCCTCTGTCTTGATTGAAGCCTCTTTAAACCGAGAAATACTAAATGTTTTCATTTTTTTTTTTTTTTTTTTGAAGAAATAAGTTTTTGATCAAATTTGTATTATATTTTAGTTTAAATATTGTTGAAAAAGTTAACAAAGTGTGGTTATTTATATAATATCTAATATTTTTTTTCGATTCGAAAATAAAACAGTGAAAAGAATTGTACTGTGATAACCGATTTTCCATTTATGGTATTGAAAAAAAAAAAAAAAAATGCAAAACTAGTAAATTTTTGCAGGTTAGGGAACAGAGCAATATATAGCTTCCCATTTCCAACCTTCTCTCCACATGCACTGTGAGAAAGAGTATCTTCATTTTTTTATTTAATTCTATGGGGGTTCATTTTATAATACGGGATATGGGCTTTGATTTTTGTTTTGCCTCCTATATTATATCCTTCCTATGTAAGGGTTCGTAACATTAAGCTCGCAAATTAGTTGTACTTTCGTGCATTCCTTAACAAAAAAATATCAATATAGGTCTTATATATAGGTCTTATCCTATTTTTATAATCCGATTTTACTATACTTCCGTATTTTAGATTTACTGTAGTTCGAAACTCATTTTGCAAAATATATTTTTTTTAAACATGCCTCTATCAACAAAGACATGTTAATATTTTTTACAATAAGTGTTTATTCCGTACCTTGAAAAGATCGATTTAGTTTGCCAACTAGTCCGTGCAAGAATAGTATTAAAAAAATTTGTATTGAAAAAAACGATTACGTACACGAAATATCGGAACCCACAATCAGAAAATAATAGAAACAAACATTACAAATAGACTAGGTATTCAGATATTTATTATTATTCTCGATTTGTTATTATATGGCCCAATTTTTATATTTAATTCAAACGCTTCACTATTAATAAAATATAATGTCGCACAGTTTGATAATTAATTTCCTTAAAAGTGTAAAAGTTTAAATATTTTGGCAATAATTTCCTTAAACACATATGCAATATATTTTATTGAAAATGGTATATCGGAGTGGCTATTAAAAAAATATTTAAAACAAGTAAGCAATGGCTATAGTCGTGAGGGGCCCACCATTTGATACCCTACAAACTACATCATGTTAAAAGCCCTTTTATGTCAAAATCCATTTTGGAAGATTTCGCTTTTGAAATTATTTCACGGAGCACTACCCAGATATTACCCTTAGAATTTTGACCAGGGACATTTGCCCAATATTTACGCACTACGTCGTGCTTTTAGTTGTTATGTTCCATTTTACAGCTAATTATATAATCCAATGGTCATTCTAGAATGAATTCTTCCGTGTCCTCAACACTCTTCTCAGGCTTCAATTGTGTGATCAGAAAATTCTTCTATTTTTGGTTCATTTGAACCCCTAAATATTTTGCGATCATCTCCAAAAGCAAGAGGCCCCTCTGTATCTCCAAATTTAGACTCATCTATATGATTTTCTTGTCTACAATATTTGGCTATATTCGTCAACGAAATCAGGATAAAAAAGCCAGAAGTTCGCCTTTCGGATATCGCCTGTAAATAATGTTGGTATTTTCACACATGAAAGCAGTGGTCCATTCTATCCGCTTTCCTAAAATTTAACTTCATGCGAGAATTCGTGTCGTTTGGTTTCTATTTATGGCCTTTATCTCGGCTGCAAAATCAGGAACATTTTTAGCTGTTGGTCCATTTTAACCCCTAAATATATTGCTGACATCTTTGAAAACAATAGGCCAAGCCCTTCTCAGCCTAACCCTACCCTTGTGAAAATTTTTGTGAGGATCGGACGATAATTGCTATCTGTATAAAATATCCCCAACCTGTGTTGTAATGTGAACAAATATTACCAAATATACATTTCAATATTCTGGCTCTACCCTCATAATTGCGGCTTGTAGAGTGATTACAAATTAACATGGACGGACAGACGGACGGACGGACGGACATAAATAGCTAGATCGACTCAGCTCGGCGAGATAGGAAAATCTATATATACTCTCCTATGTTGAAAACCAATATTTTGAGGTGTTACAAAATTTTTGGCCGAATCATACTTATAACATATAGTGTCTAAAGTATAGTCTAAAGCCGTAATAATATTTTATAGACCAGTGAGTTGTTATTTGTTAGTCTTTCCCACAAAAGTGTGAGATAGTTTGGGATATTCATTGTTACCTTCCAAAGCGAAAGCATCCGCGCTAGTTTATTGAATACATCACCTCACAACAATTCAGAGGTATGAGATGAAAGACCAAATCAAATCGAATCGAATCGAATCAAAACGAAAGCATTCTTGCTTGCTTATTTGCAACAGTTATTTTATAAAATATGATATTCAGGAATCAAACCGTAAGACCACTGTAAATTGCATAGATGGATGTATCGTTCTAATTTTATGTTTCGTAATAGGTATGTTTTTTCATAGCTCGAACTTAGACTCCGCTACACACTCCCCAGACCTTTCTATATAAAGTAATTATAAAATGCAATTAATTGTCATACTTAATATGTATTTAATAATTTTATTGGCAAAAAAAAAATATTTATTTTACTATTTCCCCAGTAAGTTGCCGTGCCCATGGTTCAATTATCAAAGTAAACTCATAATAATCTAAATCAAAAAACCAAAAAAAAAAAAAATAAATAAATAAATAAATAAATAAATAAATAACTGACTCATAAGTCATGCAAGATTTCGTTACGGAATGGTTGAATTATGCTTCAAAATATAAGTTCGCTGCAGCTAGAATATGTATGAAGATCGCCGGTATCGCGCCTTGTTTTGCTTCAATACTGACAGAAGATTCTCATCCTGCATTTTTACGTCGAATTCATTACAGAAAAATTGTCAGCGTAGTACAAAATCCATATTTTGAAGAATTGAATTGAACATAGGACATGGGTATATCACTCTCAATTCTGCCTGTCACTCATCATTTCAGCCACATTTCTGTCCGCATGAGCTCAAATGTTCAGATTTTTAAAATATTTTCCAAAAATCTAAATATATAAAAATCGAGACTCGTTCGTTAGTAATTGAATCAGTTGAGAATGGCTGGACAGATTTGGATAATTATTGTTCACGAATGTTAGTCAAGATTCCACCAAGGTTTCTATGGATTTTTTATGGTTTTTTTAGTGCCCACCTATTTATCTCAAATTCTAATATTGGCAAAATAATGAAGATATCAGTTTGAAAATTGGTATACGACACATTTTTGACTTTTCCTCCAAACTTTAGTATTTATTTGGAGGGCAGAGGAACTAGCCACGCCTACTTTAAAATATCTGAATGTAAAAAAAAAACGACAGAACTAATTGTAACAATTCACACCGATTCGGATTTAAAAGAATAAAATCGAAAAATAGCATAAAAACATGCAAAAATAAAAATGTGAGCAATTTCGTTATGTCTTGTCATTTTTTATATCGCAAGAAATTTTTTCAAGTTGACTTCTATGGCCTATGTAATGCCAGCCAGTAAGCCCATCTGTCAAATAAGTTTGCTGTCAATTGTGATTTGAAATCCAAAAAGAGTCAAATCACAATTTTGAAAAAAAAACTACTGAGTTACTGGCAAATTATTATAGGCTTTGTTGATTTTTAAATTGAATTGTTTATTTTCAATGATATTAATTCCGACATTTAATGATTAATTCTAATGGAAAGAAAGAAAGTAATCAAATTAGTGCACAGTACGCTTGTAGTTGTGACTCCAATCCTAAATCGACAGAGCTGTATGGTGCTTATATAAATAAATGGTTTTTCATTTCCGTATGGCAAATTTCCTTCCGATAAGAACCCAAAATGCTGAATTGCAGTCCATTCGACCGGAAATCTGGATTGGATAAGTAAAGTGCCGAATATCAATACGTGCTGTTATACGGGGGCCACATCAAATAGTGAATTTATGTGGACTGAGATCCTGAACCGATTCCAAATATCTCTCGAACCTTCAAAATATATAATTATATATATTACAATTATATATATTATATAATATATATATAATTATTAGAAAGGATTTCGTCCATATGAATATAAATAGATGGCCGGACGGAAGTTGCTACAGAAACATGCAAAATGACTGGCATTTGTCGTTGTCATGAGAACAAAATCTAAAAGGGACCGATGTGCCTTCTTGAATACCAATAATCGTAAGAAAAATGTATAAAGAAAAATGTATATAAAGATTAAAAGATCTAGACTTAATAAGACTTTATGATACTAGGGAGAAACACTTGACTATGGAGGGTATATTAATTTTGTCATTCCGTTTGTAACTCCTCGAAATATTCATGTCAGACCCAACAAAGTATATATATTCTTGATCAGCGTAATATTCTAAGACGATTTAGACAGACAGACGGACAGTCAGTCTGTGTGTCTGTCTGTCCGTCTGTCTGTCTGTCTGTATGTCTGTCCGTCTGTCTGTCTGTTGTAATCACGCTATCTTTCGAACAAATTGAGATAGAAGGCTAAAATTTTGCATACATGTATATTTTCCCAGTAGGCAGGTTAAGTTCGTAAATGGGTCATGTAGGTCCAAGTTATCATATAGCCCCCATATAACGGTACCTCCCGATATTCGGTATTTTGATGATTTTAGCGACATTATTCACCGGAATTATTTAAAATTTGGCATTTGAAGTTCGTAATGGATACTACAGCCTAAGACAGAAAATTATCTGTGCAGGTCCACGTCTTCGTATAGCCCCCATATAACGGTACCCCCCGATATTCGGTTTTTTTATGATTTTAGCGACACTGTTTACCGGAATCGTTTCAAATTTGGTATTTGAAGTTCGTAATGGATACTACATCCTAAATCAAAAAATGAGCCATGTAGGTCCACGTCTTCATATAGCCCCCATATAACGGTACCCCCCGATATTCGGTATTTTGATGATTTTAGCGACATTGTAAACAAATTTTTTCAAGTTTCGCATTTAAATATTGTAATAATTTATGACAAAAGTTGCCTATGCAGGCCCACGTCGTCGTATAAGCATTCGGTATTTTTAAGACTTTAACAGAATTTTTAACGGGTTTTATTTTTTGGAAATTGCCAAATTTGTACCAAATGGTGGAGGGTATTAAAAGTTCGGCCCGGCCGAACTTACAGCTTTTTTACTTGTTTGAGTTACAAATGCTTTCTGTAAGTCTTTATTTCTATGCAGATAGTACTAAAACTTCAAACTATTCAAAATACATACTTATACGGAATCCTTATATGTTCTTCTTCTGTTTTTGATTAATCACGAATAATGAGCCCTTTAGAGAAATAGGTGCCACAGACTACAGCAATAACAGACAAAACAAGAAAAACATCAAAAATCTTAAGCTATGAAACCCGATTGTAGTTACAAGCCCGAAGGTAATGATTTTTCAAAAGGGAAATTTATAAGATTACAATTTGCAGTAAATACTAAAGCTATAGGTCAGCAAAGCGGACAGGGTCAGCTAGTAATTGTATAACATTGGTTCACCGAGGTATCCAAAAATGGTTTCCGCAACCAATTCGTATTTTGATGCTTTGCTTTATATTTAATAATCAAAAAATAAATGTCAAATGTAACAAAATGATTCATATTTATATTGGCGTATTTTCATACATGTTGTTAGGATTTTCAAAACACCGAATATCGGTTTCTATCCTTTCTACCGTTGTGGAAACCGTGTGACAAAGTTTTGACGACTGTCGTAAAACCCATTATGAACTACAAATTCCGATTTTAAACAAATACCAAAGAAAATGCAAAATAAATCATAAAAATGGCGAATATCTGGAGATACCCTTATATGGTCGCTATCGGAAAACGTTAACTTATATTTAGAATGTTCCGCCACCAGATGTAGATCCCTTTACCAAACTTGGAATAATTCAGTGAAAAATATGGCTAAAAACATTAAAATACCGCATATCAGGAGGTACTTTTATATAGGGGCCAATGTAAAAGGAGGACCTATACATGCAATGTTTTGCCATCAGAGGTAGAATATCAGAAATCTGAATACTAAATTTGGGACAATTCCGTGAAAAACCGTGGATCGATATATCTCATTTTATACAAACTATTGTGCCAAAGCTCTAGGTCAAATAATGTGGGCTGTATAGTGATTTCAACAGACAAATGGTCAGACAGGCGGACATTGTTAAATCGACTTAGAATTTTATGCTAATCATTAATATATATACTTTAATGACAAATGACAAATTACCCTCCTTTGTAGGTGGATATATAAAAAATTTGTCGACAATTATCGGTAATTCTAGTTATAGAATAGCACGCCTGAAAACAATTCTAAAAATCGATAAACATGTTTACTATGCAAAATATACTCTGATAGCTTACAAAAAATCTTCTTGCGGGATATTAAAATTTAAAAAAAAAAACATATATATAAATCAAATGTGGAATTACCTCTTTCGAAAATTATTTTTCAGCACCATTAGTTTATTCCAAGATTATTTTACAGCATCTAAATACCAACAGCGGATGTCATAATAATCGCAAACACAAATTAAGCTGCATGGCACACGACCGGTTCACCGCAACAACACCTGTAATAAAGGTGTGACGTTATTATTAAATTTGAGCGGGTTAAGGGATGGTTAGTTTCAAATATGCATGCATGTGTGTGTATGCTTGTTGTTCGTGCAATGATAGATTGCGTGTTGACATAAACACGTATAAATAATAGGGCCGGTTGACAACAACAGCCGGAAGCTTGACAACCGATATTCAAAAAACGTACGCCTCTAAAACAGTAAGTGGGTAGGTAAGTATATGAACATATTAACCATTATGTGAACGAAACCCTATATTTTTTTATAATCAACCCCTGTCAAATTGTTGACAAGTTCTTGTGCACAATATGTTTGGCACTGTCATTACTTTCCGCCGAAAATAAGAGGACGTTTGATAATACAGTATTTTACTTGGACCAAAATATTCAATGTGAACATGATCTGGACTTAAACAGACCAAATTTTCCTATTTGTTATTTAAGTAAAAAACCACCTAGTTATGAAATCCTATAGTCTAATGGTAAAAATGCGAATGTGCGGATAAAGGGAATATTTGTATTTCGGTATATTACACAATCGACATCGATTTTCGGACATAAGATTTTTTGTAAAAACATTTGTTTCCCCAGCTTCTCTTTAAAAAGTTCGAAGAAAGTTCGAATTAGACCGTATTCAAAATTGAATAGAGGAATAGTGATATTGATATATTGCGGGTAAATACCCATAGCTGGCTACTATTTGTTAATCTATAAAAAAATTCGCAATAAACCATCTCCGGTTTCGTTGCCGAATCTTTCAACATTTTTGTACTTTGCAGAATTTAAAGTAATTAAAATTTGAAATTTGAATTATATATGGTCGCCTAATTTAGATGTGGTTACCAAATGTTCTTATAATGCTGATCTAATCAATGTAATGTGATCAGTAGACTATTTAGTATATGTAGCTATATGTTTGAAAGTTATGTGTGGATACCTCTCCATGAACATACGTAGCTTCTCTATCTCTCTCTACCTTTCTTCCTAGTTGGTAACTTTTGTTGATTTTTTTTTCAATCCATCAACTAAACCAGAGGGTATATTAAGTTTGTCATCCCATTTGTAACACCTCGAAATATCCATTTTATATACACAGTGTATATATTTTGTTGATCAGCTTGAAATTTTATGTCAAAGGTTCGTACAATTTTACTCAGATGTATCTTAGGTCCTTAGGATTTGTATTTGAAAATGGACCATATATGTCCACGTTTTGGTGTAGCCTCTAAATAAGAGTAGCGTCAGATTTAGCATGTTTTAGCCGTTTTAGTTACACTTTTAACCCGGATTTTCTGTAGTTTGTGTTCCCAGTATTTAAGAAACACACTTGCAGTGAGCTGTCCATATAATTTTAAATTTTGGTATAGTCCCCATAGCTGTAACTCTAAATATTCGGTATTTTGATAATTTGCGTCAAATGAAATATTTGGCAGATATTTTTCCCAGCTAAATGTATTTAACGTGTATCTGCAAGGTGCAACATAAACTTGACCGGGTAAAAGCAAGTTCGCGTGCTCTCAGCGAACTTATTTTTTTCGACACACAAAATAGGAACCAAATAAAAGCAATGTAATCAGATATTGACAAAATAGAGAGAACATAAACGGGTTACTCTTTGTCCGGCCGTATAGGCAAATTCTCGAATTGAATTTAATTAAAATAATTTCTACAGAAATTGTCAATTTTATCAAGCTTAAACATACAAATGCATATTTATTTCGACTGAAGTACGAGAGTTTGCCGCCTGTATAGTATGTCGCACGATAAAGATTTATTATACATAGAACCTCTACGCGTATACTTTATAGAGTAAATCATGATCAGCACGTATACGCCATGGAACTATTATAAATATTCACGTTCCATGCTTAATTGTATTTTAGAACCATAATTTTAAAAATGTAGAATTTTATGAACATTAACTTCTTTCGACGTAAAACACAATGAAACTTACACCAACAATATTTTGGAAGCCAAATAAGCCGCATGAAAATACAAAGCAAAATATTTTACTTTTCTCATTGACATGTAATGAATATCGGCGGCACGACGCCTTTGACTGTATGGCACAAAGTTGTTATTTCTAGACTAGCATCGGAAAACTAAAGAAAATTTAAAATACTATGAGTTGTTAATGTAGACTCTAACGGTGTGTAGGATGTTTAACAAAAGATCAGATTATTGAGAGTTAAATTGTGGATTGCGTAAAAATGTGGTGAATAAGCCCTAAGTAAGACAAGTGTACTTTCTACTTATTTGTCGACTTATTTTCGTAAAATTAATTATTGCACAAACATAATAGGTAAACCTACTTACCTATTTGTAAGTAGTATATTTGTAAGTAGTTACGACTACAAACAATACCTTATTATTTTGTAATTTGGGTTTTGGCTGGAATTAAAAAAGTAGCTACCGAAAAAATCTGTAAAATAAGAACTTAAAACTTTTATGTGAACAGTAAAACACAAATTAATAAGATTTTTCTACCGGCAATTTATAGTGACTTCTTTAATCGACAACAAAATTACGACAGTTTTCCGTCATAGGTTGTAGTGCCTATTACTATTACTGAATAATGTCGCTAAAATCATGATACCGAATATTTGGGGGTACCGTTTTATGGGTGTTATACTAAAACGTAGACCTATGTAGACAATTCTCTTCCAGAAGAAGTAGAAGTTTAGATAATTCCATTGAAAAATGTGGCTTAAATCATCAAAATACCGTATATCGGGGGGACCGTTGTATGGTGGACCAATATAGCCACTCTTCGAACTTGACCTGTCTGCAGACAAAAAGACTCTAGTGTGATTACAGCAAAGGGACAGAGCTGAATCGTCTTAGAATTTTATTCTGATCAAGAATATACAGGGTGAGATGAAAAAACTGAAACAAACTTCAGACTGCTCTCATTTCTAAGCCACTCGTCCGACAGCTGTTAAAATTAGTCCAGTGACAGCTCATTATATTGTTTACAAGCGTACACAAGCACTTTGTTGAGAATTTTCCAGAAAAAAAGTTATTCGTGATGGAATTTAAGCGTGATAGTGTGATTTCTTTATATTTGGCTAGAAAACAACAAGTAGCTATCGTTAGAGCACTCCAGCATTTAAATTTGAATACATCTTTTGTGTCTCGTACCATCGCTCGTTACCGTGATACTGGTAGCGTAGCCCGACGTCAGTTAAGTGGACGGCAACAGAAACATCAGCAGAAATGGTTGGAAACGTCGGCGTCGCAGAGGCCGAAAAATGGCGCGTGAGCTGAACATATCGCAATATTCCATTCGGCAAATATTGAAAAATGACCTCGGGGTAAAGCCATTGAAATTCCAAAGAGTGCAAGAATTTACACCACAACAGAAAGAAAATAGACTGAAAAGAGCTAAAGAGTTGCTTCACTTGGCCGAAAGTGGTGAACTGCCGAATTTGGTTTTCTCCGATGAGAAAACATTTGTTGTCCAGCAGTTTGTAAACAAACAAAATGATCGTGTCTACTTGCCAAAGAGGTCAGCTGAAAATGTGTACTTTCGGTTGGACACCAGAACTCAAGCGCCGGCCATGGTGGTGGTGTGGGCCGCCATAAGAGTCCATGATCGCTCTCCTCTCGTATTAATAGAACGTGGCATCAGAATAAATGCCGAATATTATGCCGAAAATATTCTGAATATTCTATTGTGTCTGAAGTATTTTGGAAAGCAAGGTTGGCACTAAAAAATACCAAGGTGTCGATCACCTTAAACAAGCGCTTCGCCGGGAATGGGCCAAAATACCGGGCAGCGTGTGGTTGTTTCATTGGTCTTTTGGTGGCAATAATTCGTGCCGAAGGTGACCAATTTAAACAAATTTAAACTTATTCTAAAATTTGACGCTATTTTTTGCTTTCATTTAATAAAATTTCAGTAATAAAGTGTAAATATTTTAGCGTTTGAATTTGTTGCAGTTATCACAGAGTGAGATATACAAATAAAAGTCGTACAGGTAATGCATTTAATTCAAATAGTTGTTAAAATAGTACTTGATTAAATAATTAATTACCAATAATTTGTCTGTTCTTTGTTATGCTCTGCAACTGATTTAGTATAACAATATTATAACAAACTGATACAGATAGACCCACTGCTGATCTATCTTGGCAAGAACTAATGGAATTTCAAATACGTTATGAATTTTTTACCCCAAAGTTTCTTGACACGTTGTATTGCATTTTCCTTTTAGAACAGATGAAATGCGTGCCATGAAAGACGAATAATTCAGCTCAAAATTGACTGAGAATGGTCTGACAATAAAACGCAGCTACAGAAACATTCTAGTGAACTGACTTCATTTTATAAATAAAATAAACAAAGGGATTTCCCAAAACCTATTGACTGACTAAATATGGTATCGAATATTGCATGAGTGCTTTTATCAATATACGGATATTTAGATACAATTGTGGAGCAATTATGAAGCGGTTTTTGGTGTCACTATGTAAATTTTGTCCGCACTTGGGGATGAATGGCAGGGCAAGTATTCATTTGATAAAAAATATAAAAATAGGTATGTGTGTGTTGACATATTATCAAAACACGAATCAGCAATCGTAAACGAACTTAAAATTCTGACAACCATGAGAAGTAATAGCTAAGGCGACGAAACATGTGTCACAATATAATTAAGGCCAACTTTTAACACAACATGGCTGAAAGACATTTACAGTTTAATATAAAACTTGGACACGCAATACTGAATTTTGCATCAGAAGTGGTGATAATTTAAAATAAAAAAAGTCTGGACAATCTGTATAATTTTTATGGTTAATTTTACGAATGTTTGTTGACGTAATAATTATTTACCATATAAACAATTACTCGATACATAAACACATGACGATATTAATCGGTGAACTATGGATACTAAACCAATTTTCTAGACAAATACTTTTCTGTGTTCTTTTTATTTGGGAGTAATTAATATTAACAACTCAAGTGTATAATATCAGTTCTGCACAGGG